AAATTAAAGAAAGAAAAAAAGACATTAATTTTAAATAAATAAATTTAAATATAAATTAAAAGAATCTAAAAATCAATTCAATCTCAGAGATCCAGCCCGCCGCTCGGGGGGCCTAGGGGCCCCCTGGGGCCCCGCGGTGGGGGCCCCACAATGGGGCCCCAACTGAGCCCCAGTGCCCATTCAAACCCTTTATATAATTTTAATTATAAAATATTTTTGAAATAAAACATTTTAAGTGGCATTTATTCATTTTTGATTAATAAATGTCACTTTTTGGAGAAATTATCGCTGCAGTGGGCTGTAGAGTAAATACATATATATACATCAACATATATATATATATAAAGGTATATTACATATGTATTACATGTATATACAAAATATACATATAACGCATATTATATATATATTATATTTATATCCTATTATATATATCCATATTATATATATTATATATATTATACATCTATAATATATATATATATATTTTACATATATAAAACGAATAACTGCGAAACGAAATTAACAGATGAATTTTAAATAAAATTCATCTTTTCAACTTGTGGGGCCCCGCGGCGCAAACTTTGCCACTTTTTGAAGTTAAGATTTTAATTAAATTTAATTAAGATTTCAATTAAATGAACTTAAAGAAGTCAACAATACTTCACTCCGGCTGCTCTGCAGCTAGCCAAGACTTGGTGGCTAGCTAGCCCACGCCTTGTGGCTAGCTAGCCCAGATTTGGTGGCTAGCTAGCCCGGGCTCTGTGGCTAGCTAGCCCAGCTAGCCCGGGCTCTGTGGCTAGCTAGCCCGGGCTCTGTGGCTAGCTAGCCAGGGTTTTGTGGCTAGCTGGCCCGGGTTTTGTGGCTAGCTGGCCCGGGTTTCGTGGCTAGCTAGCCCGGGCTTTGTGGCTAGCTAGCCTGGGCATGGTGGCTAGCTATGCCGGGCTTTGTGGCTAGCTGTCCCGGGCTTTGTGGCTAGCTAGCCCAGATTTTGTGGCTAGCTAGTATGGGCATTGCGGGTAGCTAGCCTAGGACCTGTAGCTAGCTAGCCCAGGACCTGTAGCTGTAGCTAGCTAGGCCATTTTCTTGGGCTAGCTGGGCCAGGATTTATAGCTAGCTAGGCCAGTCTTCGTAGCTAGCTAGCCTGGGCTTTGTGGCTAGCTAGGCCACGCCTTGTAGCTAGCTAGCGAGGCAGCAGCCCCCAGGCTAGCTAGCTAAGAAGATTAAAAAGTGAAATAAAACGAAACAAATGAATCAAAATTAAATGAATTTAAAATGAATGGAATTAAAGAATTAATTAACTTATCAGTGAAGTCAGCAGCTAGTTGGGGCCCACGGAAAGGGCCCCCAAGCTGCAGCAAAAGGGGGCCTTCCCTGCAGCTAGCTGGCAGCTAGCTGGCAGCTAGCTTGCGGTGGCAGCCGGCTAGCTGCTGCTGCCAGCTAGCTGTGCCGCTAGCTAGCTGCCATCGCTAGCTAGCTGCGTAACCAGCTAGCGCTAGCGGGTAGCTAGCTACGGCGGCTAGCTAGCGGCTGCAGCTAGCTAGCGGTGATAGCTAGCTAGCGGTGGCAGCTAGCTGGCTTTGCTGCTACTGCTACGCTGCTGCTGCTGCTGCGCGGCTACGGAAAGAACCAGAAATTTTACCTTTTTGTTGCACAAAGATTTCTGCTGTTTCTCTGTTTCGAAATGCATTTTAACGAGCTTTTGTGGATATTTTTCTGAATTAAAAAAATAGTTTTATTTCAAATTTCCAAAAGCAAAAAATTCCACTTTCGTTTCACTCACTGCTGCAGCTCGGGTGTACAGACACCCGAGTGCGCGGGGGCGGTTGCGTTCAAATTCAACTTTTCGGGTTTTTGAATTTTTCGGATTTTTTCGGTTTTTAGATTATTTAGAAAGCGTTTTGAAATTAATAAAATAAATTTTTCATTTATTTGCAATTTTGAATCTTTTTGACGCGAAAATTTCGTTTTTAACTTCAATTTTGCTGCTGTTTCAAAAATTCAGATTCGGCACTTGAATTCAACTTTTCTGCATTTCGCGGCAAATCTGAATTTGAATTTTTTAAAATTCAATTCTGAATTTTAATTCTGCATTTTATGAAATAAAATGAAAGTTTAATTCGAGAATCAAAACAATTAATTATAAATTAATTGAAACTGGAATTCAACTTTTCAAGATTCAATTAAAATCTGGAATTCAACTTTTTGAATAATTGCCTGAAATTCAAATTCAACATTTTCGAAATATTTAAAATTCAATTTGAGATGAAATTAAAATTCAACTTTCAGCACTTTGCTGAAAAATTGAATTCACAATTTTTGACTGAACTTTGAAATCAGAAATCATAAAAAGCTCAGATTCTATTATTCTGTTTGAATCACTTAGTATTTTACTTTTAATTAAAACTACAAACAAATTTATTTCTAATTAATCTGAAAATTACAAAATCCGAATTCTACATTTTCTGCAGCCAATTGGAAAATGGAGTTTCGTGTTTCTTCAATACTTATCTAAAAACTAAAATTCAACCTTTCTTTATTTCAAAAAAGCCATTTTTAAATTTATTCGAATTATTTTCAGCTTTATGTGGCGATGTGGGCGTGGGACTCCGCGGTAAAAGGAGAAAAGTCTTCTATTTTGAAGAATTTATTAATTAAAAAGAGAAAAGTATTTTAATTTTAAAGATTTAATTTAATTGGCTCTTTGTTTTTGAGGAGCATTTGACAAATCGCGAAATTCCAATTCTCTTCTCAAGAGATGTACAGACACTCGAGACTCCCAGTGGCCTCCAACTCGCCGCTAGTTCAGCTCCAGTTGAAACAAAAAAGCTGCAGTCAGTTTTTAAAAAGTATTATTTTTATGTTTGTTTTTGTTACAAGTTCAAGTTTCGGAAATTCAAGTTCAGCTGCTGCAGTCTCGGGAGCAGCAAGTTGCGTGCTGCTGCTGCAGCCAGCCCGCAGAGCCGGCGCGCGCGCGAATTAGCAGCAGCAAAGAGTTCAAAAGAAAAGAAATAAATATTAATTTTAAATTAAAAATGTATTTAAAATAATATTTAAGCTTTTAAACTTCTGCATGGAGGAATAAGGCCAAACTTGTCTCGGAGGTCGCGGGTAACCGAACCTGTATGTACACTTAAGACAGCCACGAAAGCGAACTGCGGAATTTAAAGTTTATTAAAGTTTATATTTTTTAATTTAAATTAAATTATTAATTTGAAATGGAATTAAAGTGTTTGCTGCGGCTTGTTGCTGCTACTGAGAGCAGCGCAGCAGCTGTTGCTGGACTGCAGCAGCCACTCTTGCACCAGTGGTCCATCGCGGCGCGCGGCAGCGGGCGTTCTGCCCCTTGCTGCTGCAGCAGCAGTTTTCTTTGCAGATTAATCTTTTAAATAAAGTTAAAATAATAAAACTTTGAAATTAAAAACAAATTAAAGACAAGCAGTAAAGACTTTCCCAGCCTTGGCCGAGGACCAGTGGTGCAGCAGACACGCTTCGTTCCTCCTTCCTTTTTAACAGCAGCAACATCCTTTTTAAGCAGCAGCAGCAGCGGCAGCAGCGGCAGCAGCAGCAGCAGCAATTAGTTTTCCGAGCTTCCTCTTTGCAGCAGAAGGCTCAGCTCGCTGCAGTGTTGCTGCTGCTGCCGCTGCTGCTGCTGCTGGCCTCGAGTGCAGCCCCCAGGCCACTCCAGAGCCCCCAAATTCCCCTTTTTGTTTAATCAAAAATAAATTAAATGTTTTATGATTAACAATTCTATTATGGCATTTGCAGCAGCAGCTTGCGGGCCTGCTCAGGTGTACGTACACTCCGAGGACCCCCGCCTGCCGCTGCCTGCTGCACCTTTTCGAGACCAGCAGCAGCAGCAGCAGCAGCAGCAGCAGCAGCAGCAACGCGGGGGGCCGCGCTCATTCTTGCCACTTTTAATCAATTTAAATTGACAATTTGGGTTGGAAGAAGCAGCAGCAAAAGCCAAAAGACAAACCGGCGGCGCCCGCAGCAGCAACTGCAGCAGAAGCAGCTGCCTGCGCGGCAGCAGGAGCAGCAGCAGCAGCAGCAGCACGGCAGCTCCCGCCAACACTGAGCCACCCCTCGGGTGTCTTTGCCGAAAACAAACAACCTTATGGGCTGACGCAGCAGCAGCAGCAGCAACACAGCGGGAAAGTCCTTGCTGCAGCTGCATCACGAGAGACAGAAGCAGCAGCAGCAGCAGCAGCAGCAGCGGGGCAGAAGGCGCAGCAGTAGCAGCAGCAGCAGCGGCAGCAGCAGCAGCAGCGGCAGCAGCAGCGGCTCCGGCAGATGCAGCAGCAGCAGCAGCAGCAAGGGGGTACGAGCAACTCCTCAGCCGCAGCTGCATGCATTGGCGACGCGACTGAGGACTGCCGCAGTGGCTTTGAAGACAGCTGCAGCAGCAGCAGCAGCAGCATCACCAGGAGCAACAGCAGCAGCAGCAGCAGCATCAACAGGAGCAACAGCAGCAGCGGCAGCATCAACAGGAGCAACAGCAGCAGCAGCACTCAGAACAGCAGCGGCAGACAGCAGCAGCACTCAGAACAGCAGCGGCAGACAGAACAACCTCTGCAGCAGCGGCAGTCTCAGTGGCAGCAGCAGCATGGCCGGCGGCGGGAGCGGCAGCAACAGCAGCAGCAGCAGCAGCAGCAGCAGCAACAGCAGCTACGAGTCTGCCAGCTGCTGGATGCCTGCAGTGCCTACAGCGGGCAGAGTGCCGTTAGCTGCTGCTGCTGCTGCTGGCACTCTGGAGGAGAGTCAGCAACCTCTGGCATTCCTGGGGCCGCAGGTGCTGCAGCAGCAAGAGCTGCAGCTGCAGCAACAGCAGCTGCATCAGCTGCAGCAAGAGCAGCTGCAGCAGCTGCAGCAAGGGCAGCTGCAGCAGCCGCGGCAAGAGCAGCTGCAGCAGCTGCAGCAAGAGCAGCTGCAGCAGCTCCAGCTCCAGCAGCTCCAGCAGCTCCAGCAGCTCCAGCAGCTGGAGCGGCAGCTGCAACAACTGCAGCAGCAGCAGCAGCAATTTCACGCGCAGCAGATAGACAGCCTGCGCGGAAGCCCCGAAAGCTGCTGCTTCCTTTCTGCTGCTGCTGGCAGCCCAATGAGTGTGTCTTCAGCTTCTGTGTTCCACGACCTGAGCAGCAGCAGCAGCAACGTCAGCAGCAGCAGCGGCAGCAACAGCAGCGGCGGCAGCAGCAGCAGCGGCAGCAGCAGCAGCGGCGGCAGCAGCAGCAGCGGGGGTGCGCTGCTGCGCTACTGCAGCAGCACGCGCCTCGTGAGCCCTGCAGCAGCAAACCACTCCCCCTTTGGAAGGACTTCAACTGAGACGGAGATTGAGAGACTGTACGAGAGGCCGGCCCGCGGTGCAGCAGCTGCTGCTGCAGCTGCTGCAGCTGCTGCGGCTGCTGCGGAGAGTGCTGCTGCTGCTGCTGCTGCTGCTGCGCCTGTTGCTGTTGAAGCTGCCGCTGAAGTTGCTGGGCCCGCTGCAGAGGCTCGCGGCGCTGCTGCAGCTGCTGATGCTGCAGCTGCTGCACGGGGCCTCCCTGCAGCAGCTGCTGCTCTTGCTGCTGCGGGGCCCCCTCTCTTGCCTGAGGGGCCCCTCGTGTTGGGTGGTGTTGCTGCTGCAGTTGGCAGTGGGGTTGCTTCTT